AATGTGATTACGAATGTGTTGTTGGGGGCCAGATAGCGTGAGTCCAACAGCCGTGCCGATGACAAGCCTGCATGCTCCAGGCTGTGTATCAAGTTTGTCTTGCGAATGCAGCAAGACATCGGACTTCAACATTATGCAAACTAATCCGATGAGGACGAAGGCGAGGACGCGGATGATGATGCTGATGATGATGATGATGCTGATGATGATGCTGATGATGATGCTGATGATGAGGACGTTGGCGATGATGATGATGATGATGCTGATGGTGGAGATGATGGAGATGATGATGATGATGATGATGATGATGATGATGATGATGATGATGATGATGATGATGACGATGGTGATGGTGATGATGATTGTGATGAATACGATGAGTATGATGATGATCGCGGTTATGATGGTGATGGTGGTTATGATGGTGATGATGATGACGATGCTGGTGATGATGACGATGATGAGATTGATGATGGTGCTGATGAGAATGAGCAAGTGGAGATGTCGATCGCACTTGGCCGAGGTAGATGTATGAAGGAGAGAGGACAGGGCGGCGATGGAGGAGATCGATGGCGAAACTGTCTGGAGCTACATTGTAGCTGGCTTGGGCAACATGTGTACCATGCTTTGCTTTCGTGATGCGGTTTTGAGCTATCTTGGAGCCGTCTCGGAGCTCCCTCGTCTCGGCTCGGAGCACTCTGGAGGCCGCCTCGGACCAAGAAGGGCGGCAATGAAAACGACATGTTCGCAACACGATGTTCGTTGCTATGATTGTGTTGTCTCCGAGAATCCTGCTCAGGGGGCCTCTGGCGGGCGCGGGCACCACCCTCGAGGCGCCCAAGCGGGCCCGTGGGGGGCCCGAGTGAGTCGACAGAGGGCCTCGGCATGCGCACTGGAAGGAAGAACCCTCGAGCGCGAACGGCTGGAGCCAAGGATCCGGGAGACGTAAGATTAGATCGGGACTGTCCCCCTACAGGGGGACCTTCGACGAAAAAATTAAGAATAGTCAGGAAATGCCCTAATAGTCAAAAAATGCTTTTAAAAAACAATTGTTTTAAAAAAGCCCCCAGACTATTATTTAACTACTTTTGAATATTCCCCCTGGTAGAGGGACAGGCCCGACTTGAGGTTGGCCTGACGGGGCGGTCAGGACAATGACAAGACCTGGTCAGAAATCGGACGCGGGCTCCCGCTGCAAGCATCCCACGAAGACTGGACCGTCGAAATCCAGGAACGGCCGGCCAAAACGCGTCGGCAGACACGAGTCCCGGCGAATCCGAGTCTTAGGTCCCCCCGACAGAAGAACAGCACAGAGGACACGACTTGAGCGCCGCGAGAGCCCCGAGTGGCCCAGAGTGACAAGGGCGACCGACGGACGTACAAGCAGTGGCTTGGGGCGGGATGGTGCATCAAAGCATCAGTGACGCGTGCTGGGTCTACTCTGGTCCTCCTCTTGCTCCTCGTCCTCCCTCACCCCTCCCCTCCTCTCATCCTTCCTCCCTCCGGTATAAGGCAAGCCGCGGAGCGAAAGTTCGTTCGTAGCGTCAGCTCAAAGCATTAGTTTTTTGTTCTGCTGATAGGGAAAATAGGAACAGACAACATGCCACCACAGCTAGCGCCAAAAAAGTTGATGCCGCCACACGCCGAAGGCAGGGTCAAGAGGCAATAGGATGAGGCTAGCGAGGAACGGCACGAGAGGAAAAAACACTAGTGACGCGTGCTGGGTCTATTATGATCCTCCTCCTGCTCCTCCTGCTCCTCCTCCTCCTCCTCCTCCTCCTCCTTCTCCTCCCTCGCCCCTCCTCTCCTCTCATCCTTCCTCCCTCCTCACTCGCCCCTCCGCAAACTAGACCCCCAGAAATGTCCTCGAATTAATTCCGACAAAAAACATTGGAGGGAAACCAGCCGTGACGATGTAGGCACCCAGAAAAACCCGAGAAAGGCAAAAAGCATCGAACTTCAACCTCATCCGGCATTCTCCTCCCTCCACCTTCCCGTCCTCCAAAGACCAGAGGAGGAGCAGGAGGAGAAGGACGACGACGAGGCTGACGACGACGAATTGACGACCACAACGACGACGACGACGACGACGACGACGACGACGACGACGACGACGAGGGGGTCGAACACGGCGACGAACGTGATGACGACGACGACAACGACGACGACGACGACGACGACGACGACGACGACGACGACGACGACGACGACGACGACGAACACGACGACAACGAGGACAAACGCCGACGACGACGACGACGACAACCACGACGACGATGGCGGCCCTCCCAGGCGGCAGGCAACCGGTACCTCGGCACCCGCGGGAGCGAGCGGAGGGGCCCCAAGGGGGGGCGCCCTTCCCCTCGGGGTCCTCCCGCTGAGGGCGGGCGGCGCCGGCGTCGGCGCAGTCTGCGTCGGTCGCGGCTGGCGTCGGCGACGGCGGCGGCGTTGTCGTCGTCTGCTTCGCCCCCAGGCTCGGAAGTATCGAATGCTGTAAAACAGCGAGTGCCGTAAGGGCTCTGGGTTCAATGTGAGAAACTCGCATTCGATTCACAGAGTGCGGAACCTGTGCCGCCGTACCGCGCCGTGCCGTGCCCGCGTGCCGTGCCGTGCAGGGGCTCTACAGTGCAGGACATGTGCCGCGTCGTGCCGTGCCGTTTCGCACCGTGCCCGCATGCCGTGCCGCGCCGCGCCCAGGTCCAAGAGCTCGAGGAACATGCCGTGACTAGGGGGCCACATGCGAACCGTACCCCTACCCCCCACGATTTCTGAGGGGGAGGGTGGGGTTCACTTCGCTCGGGAGCTCCCGAACGAGGTGAACCCCACCCTCCCCTCAGAAATCGTGGGGGGTAGGGGTAGGGTTCGCATGTGGCCCCCTAGTGACCCGCCGTGCCGCGCAGTGCCGTGCAGCGCCGTGAGTGCAAAAGCCGTGCCGTGCGGCGCCCGGGGGTCAGAACGCGGAGCAGGCGCCGTGCCGTGCCGTGCCGTGGCCCTTCCCGCGTGCGGCGCGGTGCCGCGCCGTGCGCGGCCTCCGCCCGCACCGACCACGCGCACCAACTCCTCCTCCTCCTCCTCCTCCTCCTCATCCTCCTCCTCCTCCTCCTCCTCCCTCCTCCTCCCCCTCCTCCTCCTCCTCCCTCCTCCTCCTCCCTCCTCCTCCTCCTCCTCCTCCTCCTCCTCCTCCTCCTCCTCCTCCTCCTCCTCCTCCTCGAGTACGCCCCCCGCTTGATGTCGACCAAGGAAGTGTGTGTGCCCTCGTCGGGAGATGGCCGCACGGTGCAGCTATGAGCTTTTGGTCTCCAGGGGCCGTTCTCGGCCCTGTGGGCCATCACAAGGCGGCTCGGGCTGAAAAGCTGAGCCCCAAGGGAAGGGTCATCGTCGTCGTCGTCGTCGTCGTCGTCGCCACCGTCGGCGTCGTGGCCATGGTCGTCGTCGTGGCCGCCGCCGTCGTCGCCGTCTCGGACGAGGGCCCCGCCAATCCTCATCCTCATCATCACCATCATCATCAGCATCATCAGCAGCATCACCATCATCATCATCATCATCATCATCATCATCATCATCATCATCATCATCACCATCATCGCCATCATCAGCATAAACATCATCATCATTATCATAATCGGCATCAGCATCAACATCAGCATCAGCATCATCATCATCACCACATCAACATCCGCATCATCGTCATCATCATCACCACCATCATCATCATCATCATCATCATCACCATCATCATCACCATCATCATCATCACCATCATCAGCATCATCACCATCATCATCGTCCTCATCGTCATCGTCATTGTCATCATCTGCATTTTCATCAGCATCAGCATCAGCATCATCATCAGCATCATCATCATCATCATCATCATCGTCAGCATCATCAGTTGCAGCAGCATCAGCATCAGCATCATCATCATCATCGTCATCATCAGCATCATCTGCAGCAGCATCAGCATCATCATCATGATCGTCAGCATCAGCAAATTCATCGCCATCGTCATCATCATCATCATAACCATCATCATCATCATCGTCATCACCATCATCATGAACATCATCACCGTCATCGTCATAATCATCATCATCGTCAACATCATCGTCATCATCATCATATCCATCATCAACACCATCACGATCATGATCATGATCATCATCATCATCATCATCATCATCATCATCATCATCATCATCATCATCATCATCATAATCATCGTCGTCATCGTCATCGTCAACGTCATCATCGTCGTCGTCATCCTCATCGTCATCCTCATCCTATCCTCAGCCTCCTCACCATCATCAGCAGCATCATCATCGTCACCTCATCGTCATCATTATCGTCATCGTCATCGCCATCGTCAGTCGTCGTCATCATTATCAGCAGCATCATCACAACCACGACCACCGCCACAACCGCCACCACCACTCCTCACCTTCCCACTTGAATCATGGTAAAAGGGCGACATGCCGAGAAAAGCCTTCCTTGCACATATCCAAAACACTCGACATGCCAGATCCATCGAATCACAGCCCGCAACATGAGGAACCAAGCGCGCACAACGTCGTGCAGCCTCGCCGGCAATATGGGTACTTGCAACCCTGTGATACCCCCCTACTGTTAGCAAGCGCAGCGGTGCAGCCTTTTTCCTCCGCCGGGCGCTAGTCACCGCGGCCCTGCAGACCAGCCAAGTTGAACAACGCACCGCCGCTCACGGTTGTCACTGAAACAAAGTTTGTCATCTACCCGTCTGCCCCCGTGGAAATGATTTGCCAACAGAGCTTGCGCATAAGAAATGCTAGGCAACAAGCTTGTGCGAAAGCACGTGCTCAAGAGGTGTCGTTCAATCACCATGAGAACGTGCTACAAGACACACGTGCTAACAAATACAGTCGGACAGCCAGTCGTGGCAGAACCGACAGCAGAATAGCCACCAAAGTCCTCGCTGGCACCGCTTCAGCTGTATTACCAAGTTTGTGCACTCTTGTTCTAACGGCTCAACCGCCGAGGACACCGAGGGACATCTGCTGCCGTGCGCAGCGCTTAGTTCGTACCCTAGTTTCTGGGATGGTGGGAAAACGTACTACGCCTACGCGCGCATCGCAAACATCTGACTACATCAGGTACTTAAGATCAAATATCCGCCGGCCCCCTTGTGGGGCCACGAGGCTGTAGGACGAAGTTGCTGCTCCCTGCACCAGTTGCAGTTTCAAGTCTCCAATGTCACAATCTTGCCTTCTGCTTCCTACTGTAAGATGTTGAAGTCCGCGCGAGGGGGGGAGCCCAAAACCAGTAATTTACCACGCCCCGATCGCGTTCTCTGAATTCATGGGGGGGCGTGGGGCATGTAATAATACATGAGGTTCACTCCCCCGAGGCCATAATTCTTTGCAAAGTATACCAGATTCGCGCCCCCGAGGCCTCAAACCCTTGTAAATTGCTCAATGATTGCGTCCCCGAGGCAACAAACCTTTGCAGTTTACACCATATTCGCGCCCCCGAAGCCACAATCCCTTGTCAATTATACAAGATTCGCGTCCCCGTGGCCACAAACCCCTGCAAAGTATTAAGTTGTTGCGCTCCCGAGGTAACAAACCCATTCAGATTACTCGATAATCGCGTCCCAGAAGCCCTTGCAAATTACACCGTATTCGCATTGCCGAGGCCAAGAGTGCTCCAAAGCGGCCGAAGATGGTTCCAAGACGACCCAAGAGGGCCCCAAGAGGCCCCAAGAGCGCTCCAAGAGGCCTCCCGAGAGAGCCTCAACGGCCAAAATTGCAAATGTGATAAAGGTTTTGAAGGATTTGAGCATTCTCGAATGTTCAGCTATCCGACGCTCCAAGACGGCTCAAGAAGCCCCCAAGACCGCCCCAAGACAGCCCAAGAGGCCTCCAAGAGGGCCCCAAGATGGCCCAAGAGGGCTCCAAGATGGCCCAAGAAGCGCTCCGAGAAGCCCCGAGAAGCCCCCAGGAGGCCTCAAGAGGCCGCCAAGAGGCCCCAAGAGGCCCCAAGAGGCGCCCAAGAGGCGCCCAAGACGCGCCCAAGAGGCCTCCAAGAGGCCCAAAAGATATCCCACGAGGCCCCAAGAGGCCCCCAAGAGGCGCCCAAACCGCCCCCAAGATCCCCACGACACCCCAACACATATACAAGAGGCCTCATACCCACAACCCAGGCACGGTGGCTGAATGGGCCGAAGGCCACAAGGATCCGCCGCCCCCTGCTTGCAGGGGTGCACGGCGTGCTGGATGATTCAGTTTTGGTTTTGGTTCTTTGTCTAAAAGAACTCCCCAGTGGGCTTCGGCCCGTCCCGCCGGCCACCCGTAAATTTCCGAAAATCCGTCTGTCAATGCCTTTGTTGCCCCAACTTGGCCCAAGATGGCCTCCAAGACGGCCAAGATGGCCCAAGATGGCCTCCAAGATGCTTCCAAGACGGCCACGATGGCCTCCAAGACGGGTAAGATGGCTCCAAGATGCCTCCAAGACGGCCCAAGATGCCCTCCAAGACGGCCAAGATGGCCCCAAGATGCCTCCAAGATGGCCCAAGAGGCCTCCAAGACGTTCTCCAGGAGAGCCCGAAGAGGCCAAAATCATTGGTTTTCCTTAGGTTTTTGAAGGTTTTTTGCGTTTTCTTCTTTTCGGCCTTCCGACGGCCCAAGAGGCCCCCAAGATCGCCCAAGAGGCCTCCAAGAAGGCCCTATGACGGCCCAAGGGCCCCCCAAGACGGCCCCAAGAGCGCCCCAAGACGGCCCAAGAGGCCTCCAAGACGCCCAACATGGCCTCCAAGACGGCCCTGAAGCGCCCCAAGAGGGCCCCAAGACGGCCCAGAGAGGCCCCCAAGACGGCTCCAGACGGCGTCAGACGGACCAGGAACGCCCTAAGACGGCCAAAGAGACCCCCAGGAAGCCCCCAAAGGCCCCCAAGAGGCCCAAGGAGGCCCCCAAGATGCCTCCAAGAGGCCTCGAAGAGGCCCCCAAGAAGCTCCCAACAGACCCCAAGGGTGCCCCAAGAGACTCCTAACAACCCTCATCCTCCTACTCTATTTATTCCTCTTCCTCTTCCTGTTCACAATCATTCTCTCCATGTGTTCCCCGAAAGCTTTCCAAACCGACTCGGGGAACTCATGGTCCGATAGCTTGGCCAAGCTCTAGTCCAACTTTCGGCCACATCGGCGTTTCCAAAAAGGCAGGGGGCGGCGGTGATTCGCCGTAGGCGTCTTCGATCCGCCGCTCCCTTTTGCTTTAGCAAAGGGGTGCCTGGCGTGCTGAATCCTCTCGGTTTTGGTTTTGGTTTTTTTTTTCCAAAAGACATCCCCCTGGGGCTTCGGCCCGTCCCGCCGACCACCCGGAAACTGCATCAGTCAATGCCTGAAACGGCCG